TGCAGTGCTGAAGAACACACATCTGATGCCTGTAAAAACACTCTTCACTGTGCAAACTGTAATCGGGAGCTTGCCGCATACTCACGGTCGTGCCCATGCTGGAAAAAAAAGAAAGTTATCACAATTGAAGTAAAACAAAATATTTTATATAAGGAGGCACGAAGGCAGAGGTCCTACCTACCAGAAACCAGCTTTGCCAAAGTGGCGCGTCAGGGGGCAGCGCCACGACGGCCTCCGGTGGCTGTCTGGCACACACGTAGTGAGCCAGTGGTGACGCCATCCGCCCCCTCGTCGGTTGGAGGCAGTGCTGCTCCGCCATCCAAGAAGGACCCACCAATCTCCGGGGTGGGGAGCAATGAAGGTATCGTTGTTTGTGAAGAGGCCCTCAAAACAAACGCAGCGTGAGGGCAAAGCCAACGCTTAAGGATCGGCGCAACTCTGTCGGCCAGTCCAAAAAAGAAAAATCTCGGGTCACGGCTCCTGGAAAGGGTCTGTGAGCTAATTTTCCATCCTTGAGCACTTAGCACAAACTACACCTAAAATGGACACACAGATATTACAGTAGAATGTGAGAGAACTTCTTCATATCCTCGATAATATTAGAGAACTTCTTAAACATACTTCAAAAGTGCTGTGTGCTCAGGAAACACATCTCGAGTCCACAGAAACAAACTTTCTAAAACAAATATATGCCATCTTCCGCAAAGACAGTGACGATGCTGCCGCTTCGTCGGGCGGTGTCGCTATAATAGTTGATAAAGGTGTTGCCTGTGTGCAACTAAACCTCCAAACTTCTCTTTAGGCAGTTGCTGTCCGAGCAGTGCTGTTAGGGAAGCTACTAAAATTACATCTATTTACATTCCTCCGTGCTATCACCTTTCGAAAACACAACTTGAAAACTTTATTGATGAACTTCCTCCGCGATATATAGTCTTTGGTGATCTAAACGCACATATTGCCCCATAGGGCGACTCCCGTTTGGATTCGCAAGGACGCCTATTAAAACACTTTCCGTTTTCGTCAGGTGCATGTTTACTTAACAAGAAAGCACCAACATATTATAGCACTACACCCAACACACCCTCTTCTATAGACCTGAGTATTGTCTCGAATACATTAATTCTATATCTGAAGTGGTCCGTTCGCAAGAACCTATTTGGGAGTGACCACTTCCCGATTATGTTGAGGTTAACAAAAGAACATACTTGCCCGACTTTCCTAGTTGCAACACCAAGTCAGCCAACTGGGAACTGTTCTGAGAAAACACATTTTTAGACGAAGATGGCATTGCTGATTTTGAAATAGACGATGCTGTGGCATACCTAAGAGGTTTTATTATTGACGCTGCATTGAAATGTATGAAGCAAACTAACGGAATGACTAATAAGCGTCGCATCCCATGGTGGAACGAAGATTGTTGGAAAGCACGCAATAGTCAAAAGAAAGCCTGGATATTATTTCGAAATATTTCAAACAGGATAAGTCATAAGCCAGAAGAATGCATCGTCTTGCAAAGAGAGAAAGTTGGAATAGGTACATCTCTGGTATAAATTATTACACCGAATAAACAAAGGTTTAGAATAGAGTGAACAAGTTCATGGGTCGGGAGTCACATTCCCTACCCTTCGTAAGTAGCCGAGGTGAGAGTCTGGAGGAGCAGACAGACTGCCTAGGCGAACACTTTGAATATGTCTCAAGTGCATCACACAGAAACGTTATTAAGATTCAAAAAACGCGAAGAGTGGCAGCCCTCTAACTGTAAACATCCATCCAGTGAGACTTACAACTGTCCATTTAAATTAGCTGAACTTGAGGCGTCCCTAGCGTGCTGAAACAATTCGGTGCCACGTGGCGATCGTATATAGTACGAAATGATCAAGTACCTTCAAAACAAAGCACTAAAACACTTCTAATTCTTTTCAATAACATGTGAGTGACTGGGTATGTTCTGTTGCCATGGAAAGAAGCGATAGTCATCCCGGTACCTAAGGAAGCCAAAGACCCGTTCTTGGCCGCCAGCTACAGGCCCATAGCGTTAACCAGATGTCTATGCAAACTACATGAGAAAATGTTAAACCGGTGCTTAATTCACTTTCTAGAAAGTAACATTATCCTAGACCCCCTTCAGTGTTGTTTCAGAAAGGGGAACTCGACAATAGACCACCTTGTTCGCATAGATACATACATTAGAGATGCATTTATTCATAGGCAGTTTCTATTTTCCGTATTCCTAGACTTGAAGAAAGCGTACAATACCACATAGCGATTCGGTATTCTACGCGATCTTGCCGCCATAGGCAACCATGGGAACATGTTAAACACAATTGAAAGTTATCTGTCTAACCTTACCTTTCGCGTAAAAGTAGGAAATGCTCTCTCTAGATCGTTTACCTAGGAGACTGGTGTTCCGCAAGGGGGCGTGCTTAGTTGCACCCTCTTTCTTGTAAAAATGAACTCCCTGCACTCAGTAATTCCAAGCATTATTTTTATTCCGTGTGTGTTGATGATGTGCAGATGAATTTCAAATCATGCATTATGTCTATCTATGAACGACAAGCACTGCTTAGAATGCATAAATACTCTAAATGGGCGAATGAGAATGGTTTTAAAATAAACACCCAGAAAAGTACTTGCGTACTTTTCTCCAACAAACGAAAGGTAATGCCACTATCAAGTGTTGTGATCAAGGGAGACCAACTCTCTGAGAGCAGCGAGCATAAATTCCTGGACCACTTTAGAGATTCTAAGCTCCCGTTTATTCCCCGTAATAAATCTGTAAAGATTAAATGTCTGAAAGAATTGAAAGTCCTAAAGCGCCCATCACGTACAACATGGGCTGGTGATCGAAAACGCCTCTTCAAGTTGTACAAAAGCCCTGTCTGGTCGCGCCTTGATTATGTCTTTTTAGTTTATCATTGCGCAACGCCAAGTGCATTAAAAATCGTAGACCCCGTTCACCATTTCGGTATCCGACTTGCAACCGCTGCTTTCAGGACAAGTCCGATCCAGAGCCTCTATGTGGAGTCGAATCAGTGGTAACTTCACCTGCAGGGATCTTATAGCAGTTTCACATATTTTATAAATGTACGTGCGAACATCAAGCATTCTTCTCATTCCACTATAAACGATATGATCGCTGCCCACATCTTTCATAATCGACCCGCAGTAAGAAAGCCGTTCTCTTTGCGTGTGAGAAACTTAAGTGAGGAAATGGGTGTTCCACTGCTAGAACTTTCAACTATGCCCATAACGAAACTTTTACCGCCGTGGCAGTGGCATTTTGTACATTGTGACACCTCATTTGTCGAGATCAATAAACACGCACCAGAAGCACATATTAAAATGCATTTCCGATAACTCCAGTCCAACTACTCATGCGTAGAGTTTTATACCGACGCTTCCAAGTCGCTTGGAGGAATGGCTCATGCAGCCGTCGTACCATTCTTCATGGAATCCGGTGTACTGCACCCGAAAACAAGTATCTTTACAGCTGAGGGTTATGCACAATTGTTGGTCGTGAAGCATATACGGAAATCAAACATACAAAAATCAATTATATTTACAGACTCGATAGGCGTCATAAATGCGTTGAGATCACTTTTCCGATTCAGAAATCCGGTAATAATTGAGTTGTATTCCGTTCAGTGTACAGCGTATATGTGCAACTAGCATGTTACTATTTGCTGGGAACCTGGCCATAGAAGCATCGAGGGCAATGTGTTAGCTGACCAAAATGGCCACGTCAATTATATTGCGCACTATTAAGCCTACCGCTACTGTCCCTGCAACAGATCTAAAACCCTTCCTACGTAAGAAACTACGAACTCACTTGCAACGCTTGTGGGACACAGAAATAAATATTAAGCTTCACTTGATTAAGCCGCGGTAGGGTTACTGGCCCTCCGCTGCGAGAACACGGTGAACTGATATCCTATTCTGCCGCCTCAGAGTAAGACACACATATGTTACCTATAGCTTTCTGCTGACTGGCGATGAACCTCCTACTTGTGGTATATGTGGCGGGAGGCTAACCGTCCTCCTCGTTCTCCTGGAGTGTCCGGAAGCTGAAAGAGAGAGAAAAACATGTTTTCCTTTAGCATACTGCTATCATCTCCCTCTACATTCTATTATGTCTCTTGGCGAAGAGCCGCTTTTTGACGCAAAATCTGTCCTTGGCTTTTTAAAAGATAGATAGTATTGAATGTTTTCAGCCCAACAAGTTCATAGCGCATCCTCTGTCCAAAACGTGCCGCTGTGATATCAGCTTTCAATGAGTCCAGGCCTCCATGCTCTTGTCTTAAGTGCTCTGCCGAGGCACTAGTGCTCCATGCCAAGTTTTTATTTCATAAGCGTATAATTTTAGCAAATTTTATGTCTTCATAGCACACATCATTTGTCAATGCCATAATTTTACTCTATGTATATTTTACGCACCTATGCGACCGTTTTTATGCCACTTATAGCCATATCAGATCTGTTTTATCCACACCGCGTAACGCACAGTTCATTATCATCGCTCTGGCGCTCTTTGGCCACATCTGGCCCTTGCGCCAATAAACTCCCCTAATTGTCATCATCAATCATCAGCCATACATGTCGTGATTTTCCGGCTATGACTACTCACTGATGCTCGACATAGTCTTGTTATGTCATACAAATTTTGGAATAGATATATAGATACCGTTATCGAAACGGCCAAGAGGGCTAAATGTCGTAGGCGGCTAGATAGATAGATAGATAGATAGATAGATAGATAGATAGATAGATAGATAGATAGATAGATGGATAGATGGATAGATGGATAGATAGATAGATAGATAGATAGATAGATAGATAGATAGATAGATAGATAGATAGATAGATAGATAGATATACGACCAACGTCACCGAAGTTCGCTAAGAAGTTATTCGCATTTAATTCATAAATATCTCATGTGCGTAATGTTGTACACTATGTTGAAGTGCCATGGACGTACCGTTTTGTTTCGCCAACCACGCAGGTTATAGCTTACGGGGTGATTCTGCACAAAGGGTCCTTCTGCCGGAGTTACTTCAACCTCCTCGATGTCCTCGTCGTCTGCGTGTCGCTCATCTCGTTCGGCTTCGGGTGCGTGGCTTCGGCGTTTTTTACAAATGAATTTTATGCTCTCAAACTATGGCGCGCAATAGATAGATCACCAAATGTGTACATTATTTATTATATTTATTTTTGTGGATTTATGGTAATGTGGCCCACATCAACAAGAATCGAGATCATGATTAGCACCGTTTAGGGAAGTTGAACAGTGCTCACGGAGTCAGCTGTGACATCAAATTTAATTTTTAGTGTAATTATTAGTGTGCACTACTGCTCGAGATAATGGCATCATTTCACGACAAACTTGGTCTACAAAGGCAATGTTGCTCAGATTTACGGTTTGCAATCGCAAGTGCGCCGATGTGAGCCAAGTGGAAGAATGTGGGAACAAAATTAAGTGCGCAACTTTGGTTTATATTGTCAAGTCGGTTTGGTAAACAAATGAAGATGAATTAAACGATTCCGTACAAATTTGTCGTAGGAATCTCCTATCCATTAACGGGTAAAAAATGTTGAAAGATGGTAGCTGCGAAATCTCCTAAACAAAAATGTTAGACTTCGATATACAAGTTATCAACAGGTAGGCCACACTTCTTTGACCGTTCCAAATTAAAACAAATGACACTGATACATAAGAACAATAAAACAACGTGCGAATGTATTGAGCTATTTACGAATGAATTTTTAGGATTAATAAATATAAACAATAGACTAACTTCTATCAGGTCACATAGAACCATTGCACATATTAATTGCCTATTACATATCCTCTTTCAAGTTTAATTAGCTTAGGGAAAACCTTGTATTTTTGCCTAAGGCTCGATATTAAGTTAGTTATGTGCTTTAAAGAAAACTTTTTTTATCGACTGCATGAATAGGCTTTTGTTATCGCACTGCCTAACCGATGTGCCAAGCTTGTTTCAAGGAATTGTTGCAATGTCCAGCTAACTGGTGGCGCCTTTTCTTTTGCAGAGATGGGACTATCTCTGTAGTAAAAATCCTTCGTGTCTGTCGCGTGCTTCGTCCACTTAGGGCTATCAACAGGGCTAAAGGTCTAAAGGTACGACTTTATCCCATCTTCTTGGCTACATATTCTGAGTCATTGTAGCGTTTACCGAAGTTGTTTGAAGGTGCATTTTTACCCTTTGTGCACTATTTAAGACATAACGGCTATAAGCAGCGTTTTCACCAAGAAATATTTCACTGCACGGTTCAGCAATGGTTGGATAATATTGCCTTTTTATTTTTCAGTGCAGTCAATAAAGAAGAAAGAATAATACAACACTTTCCACTAAAATTTGCCATGTGAAGATGCAAAGTGGCGCTATTATTCACTTTTGCTTCCACTTTTTTTATTTCACTCGTTTGTTTCGCGTTCATTTCATTTTTGTGTGGAGTTGTGTGAATGTTGTGTACCGCCTATGTTACCCTTCTCTCATTTGTGCGTGTAGTCGTTTGGGTGTCGCAAAGTGAATACCCAACACTGCTGGTGGAAGCCACGAATAAAGCTAGTGCAGGGTTATCTACCAGCGCAGAGCTGTGTCGAAGAGATAAAGGGGAATAGAGAAGTGGAGTGGAGGCAAGTGCTCAGCCACTTGACTTTAAACAGGCCTTTGTCCTCCTCTTTGTGCCCACGCTATCGGAGGGCCCTCGGCGATCACCCGCTCCCCTGGAACGCCATGTGCTAACTGTGAGCATGAGGAGAGAGCTGGCGCATGCGCAGTAAGGGTAGTCACGCACACACCAACAGATTGAACTCCGCTATAAGTTCCTCGCATTTAAACAAGGCTTTGAGCTGGAAGGTACACATACTGTTGTTGCGAATGCCTCTTGCAAACTTCGCAAGTAGCAGGTCGCTGGTGCGCTACGCACAGGCTTGCACAGGCCTTGCGTAAATGAAATAAACCTCTTTGCAGTGTATTCTGCTAGTCATATGTTTTTATGTATAATACTTAGTTTTTTCATAGCGTGAATATATATTTTACGCCAATAGTCTCTCTTTGAGACTGCAGTATAAATAAATAAATAAAGAAATAAATAAGTAGATAATCAAATAAATAAATAAATTGAATGCAGAGTATGTGAAACTCAAGCCGATACCTACAATGAATGGTACTTTAGCCTGGACAAAACTATGTTGTTATTTATTTGCGGCATAGTCTTGATGAATTTTGTTCATACAAGCGCTGCACCAATTTTAATAAAACATATACAAGTTTACTCATTTTGTGAGTATGATCAACAGCGAAGCAGAATCACAAATGAATTCATTCTTGCAACTACAGGGCGGCGAAGTTTAATAATAGCGCAAGCGTGTGGTGCAAGTCGGATAACCATCTGTCATGATCTGTCCCGAAGACCGTGGACGAGAGGGAGGGCCGAGGCGCCGTTGTGACAAGGACGGCACCACACGCATGGTGGAGTAACAGCTACTGACCGCCGAGCAGCGCTCGTCAGTGCTTATTTCCCAAGCACCACCAATGGTTGCCTGCCGAACTTGGCGAGGTAATGAAAAAAGGCTAGGCATGGCGCCACAAGCTCGTTACACCCCTCACCCCAATTACTGCGCAAAAAAAATACAAGTCCCAGCCGGTTCAGCATTGATTTAGGTAGGCGAAAAACAGTCTGGTTCCCTTCGTCGTCAGTTGCTCGGTCTGAGAACAGGTGTTGAGGGACTAGGTGTAATACCACTAGATGCTGCCTGAGCCGCCCTCCGTTCCTTCTGAGATTCTGCCGTGGTTGGCAGGGATGGAACTGAACTTGCCACTGGCCCAACTAGTGGCGCACAACTGGAGGTGCCTTTTTCTTGCGAAACAGGTTGTCTCCCTGGTCGCAACTGGTGCTGCCGCAGATGCAAGCCTGGTCCTACGGTTAGCCCTCACGTGGTCAGCATGTCGGTGCCATGTGGTTTCATCATGCATTCGTACGAGCAAGGAGGAGGAGCTTGCAGGTGAGACCACTTGTCCAGCAGGCCAAGGGGGACCAGAGCGGAATTTCCTGGCGAATACTGGCATTCCGGGCTCGGGCAATGGCACATGATGGCACCCTTTGCCGGCAGCCAGCTGCTGTTTCAGCTATTTGAGAAGCGCCGTGAACTGGAGGTCTGGGTGCAGAATGTACAACGGTGTCTTCACCATCCATTCCAGCAAAAGCTCACAGGCGGCACGGCTGGTGACTTCATGAGGTGTGGTTTGATACTTAAAAAGTATGCGCGCGACCTGCGTACGGAAATCCTACACCTGGCTCCTCCGTATTAACCCGCAAGCCGCTAAAAAGCTTGTCGTTAATCGTCTCCACCACCCGCTGTGTTGCACCGTTTGAAGCGAGTTAATACGGAGGAACCGTCATTAGGTGGATTCCGTTCTTTGTCAGCCAGGCCAGATACGCTGTGCTGCACAAAGGGGGGCCCATTATCGGAGACTATGATGTCCGGCAGCCCCTGGGATGCAGAGATCTGCTGTTGTGCTGCAATGGTCGCATCTGCAGAGGAAGTGGTGATAGGTATAACCTCCGCCCACTTTGAGAATGCGTCAACCACCATCAGGAAGTAGTGACCTTTGAAAAGGCTCCCAAAATCCACGTGGAGGTGACACCAGTGCTTCTGTGGGAATGGCCATGGGGTGATCTCCACACGACGCGAAGCCCGCTGATGTTTCTGGCAGACTTGGCAGCTTAGCACCTGGTGATCAGTGTTCTGGTCCAGTCCGGGCCACCAAACGGGAGACTGGGCCACCATTTTTGTGTTTTCCACGCTAGGATGCCCCGTTTGCGGCACCTGCAAGACCCTGGACCGCAGAATTTGTGGGATCGCCACCCTGGAACCCCAAAGTAGGCTGCTTTGCTGCAGGCTCAGCTCAGCTGCTTTGTAGCTGTAGGGCTTTTGCACCAATTCTTCCTCTCGGCATACCACCTTCATCATCTGGGACAGGACACGGTCCTGACTGGTCGCCCGCGACACAGCAGACCTGGAGATTACATTGGGTTACGCATGCTCCAGCATGAGCATTTGGCTCTGGCTGGAACATGCGCTGCCACATGTGCCTGGCTGTGGAACCTCTCGCACCTCTGGCAGCGGCAACCAGCTCAGGGCTTCGGCAGGCCCCAGGTCTTTTCCCAGACGGTACACTATCTGGTAGCAGTAGGCCAGAAGCTTCAGGGCTCATCGTACCACTCGAGGGGATTCCTGCACGGTGACCGCCTTGTCTGACCCCAGTAGCCCCAGCAGTGGTTTGTGGTCAATGACATCTTCGAACTTTCGGCCCCACAGGTACTTGTGAAAACGCTCGACGCCAAGCATCAAGGCGAGGCTTTCCTTATCTAGCTGGCTGTAATGCTGCTCTGCTGTGTGAAGACGACGACAAGCAAAGGACAACGGGCGTTCTTGGCCTTCCTTGTCATCTCTGTGTGCTAGGACGGCTCCTACACCGTATGTTGATGCGTCTACAGTAAGAACAACAGGCTTGGCTGGATCGAAGTGCACCAACATCGGTGCCTTGGTGATTAGCTGTTTACTGTGCTCAAAGGCCATGTCCTGCTCCTTCTTCCACGCCCAATGCTGGCCATCTCGAAGCAGAATGTGCAGTGGCAGCAGATGCGCAGACAGGTTGGGCAGAAACCGTCTGTGAAAATTGATGAGGCCAAGGTAGTTTACAGCACTTTTCTTTTTGGGGTTTAGGCGCTTTCAGAACAGCTTCAACTTTGTGGGGGGCCAGAGTCAGGCCGGCCTGTGATACGACTTGTCCCAGGTATTCTACACTGGGAACCGGTAACACGCACTTTCTCCGCTTGAGCTTGAGACCAGTATCCTGAAGTCTGGCGAGAACGTTGTGCAGATTCTGCATGTGGTCTCCGTCGTCAATATCAGTGACGAGGATTTCGTCCAAGTACACTGTGCCGTGCTTCATGCCCCAGAAGAGGTTGTCCATCTCTCTTGAAAAATGGCTGGTGCGAAGGCCACGCCAAATGGTAAACGCATATACTGGCAAAGCTCCATAGTTGTCGATATTGCTATATACTTCCGTAAGTCCTCCTGGAGCACCAACTGCTGGTAAGCATCTTTGATGTCGAGCTTCATGAATTTCCGGCCGCCAGACAAAGCCGACCAGAGATCTTGAATCTGAGGGAAGGGGTACTTTTCGGGGGTAGCGACGGGGTCGATCGTAACCTAGAAATCGCCACAGATACTGACACTACCATATCGCTTGAGAACTGGAACGATAGGAGCGGCCCACTCCACAGTCTTGACTGGAACCAGAATACCTTCTCGCTGTAACCATTGCAGCTCCTGGATGACCCCGTCCTTAAGTGCGAACGGCAATGGGCGAGGCTTGAAAAACCGAGGCCGAACTCCACTGGGTGTTTGGATGCCAGCAGTCGTACCGGCGAATGTGCCCACCCCTGGCTTGAACAGTGGCTCGAACTTCTTTCTGAGGCTTGGGATGTCTTGTACGTCATGAAGGGTTGCTTCCTGGCCCTCTGGCAACCGAATACCGAGTGCGCAAATCGAATTCTTGCCGACCAGCGTGGGTGACGACCCCATGGTCAACGCTCCGCCGCGGTGGTTTAGTGGCTAAGGTACTCGGCTGCTGACCCGCAGGTCGCGGGTTTGAATCCCGGCTGCGGCGGCTGCATTTCCGATGGAGGCGGAAATGTTGTAGGCCCGTGTGCTCAGATTTGAGTGCACGTTGAAGAATCCCAGGTGGTCGAAATTTCCGGAGCCCTCCACTACGGCGTCTCTCATAATCATATGGTAGTTTTGGGACGTTCAACCCCACATATCAATCAATCGACCCCATGGTCAAATACAGAGGAAGCGTAGCTTCCCTGTTGCCAAAACGAATGCTAACCTGGGCCTCGCCTTGGACCTGGGAAAGTTCGCCCGAGTAACTTCGCAGCATGACACCTGAAGCCTCGACGGCCACTCGGGGGAAGGTCCTTTCGAAAAGTTTGACAGCCATGACCGACACACTGGCTCCATGTCCGAGTTCCATGGACATGGGGTGCCCACAAACTTCGACGCTTAGTACGTACGGTGGCACAGACGGCGGGACAAGGCCTGTGTTCCACATGTCGAATATAGGCGGGTCCTCGGTTACGACGTTAAGCCTGGCCGCGGAGGAACCCCAGCTCGCTGCCGCACATCACCACCGCCACTTGCGATACTTAGTCTGACCGCGGGCTGGTGTGGAACCTTGGCTTTATCCAGGCTGCTGCTGTGGTCCGCTGTTCTGCTTCCCTGTTCCGCATACTCGTGCAATTTGCCCAGTTTTTCCGCACGTGAAGCACTGCGAATGTACGAACTGGTCCTGTGAGTGGGAATGGGCGTCACCACAGCTACTGCATCTACCGCCTGTCATCATCGACTCATTTCCAGACTGCTGCGCTACAACTTCGAAGGTGAGCCCGACACCGGCGGCCAAGCAACGTATCATCACCGAGCCTATCTCTATTCTACAGCACGCCTACGAAGTCTCTCAAAAAAAGCATGACGCTATACGCTAAAAAGTCTAGGAGATGCTCAAAGACGACGTCATCCAGTCACCAATGAGTGACTGGGCGTCCCCTGTTGTGTTAGTAAAGAAAAGAGATGGTAGCCTGCGATATCGCATCGACTACCAAAAGTTGAATATGATTACGAAGACGCGTATTCTCTAGCGCGAATAGAATATTCGCTGGACCTTATTCGAAACGCTCGTCTTCTTTCATGAATCTATGCAGTGGCTATTGGCAAGTCACCGCTGCTGAGCCGACCGCGAAATGACCGCTTTTATTACACCTAGCCAGCTCAACGAGTCCCTAGTACTTCCCTTCTGCCTATGCTCGACGATAGCTACTTTTCAAAAATTGTTGAACACGGTTCTTTCTGGGCTAAAATAGCAATCATATATCGTCTGCCTCGACGATGCTGGTCGTCTTCACAGATACCTTTGAGCAACACGTCCATCGCTTGCAGACAGTTCTTCAGGTGGTTTGAACAGGTGGACCTTTTCTGAAACCTGAAAAATGTCATTTTGCTTATGAAAGTCTCGTGCTTCTTGGTCACGTTGTGAGCCACGCCGGCATCCACGCAGACCCCGGGAAAACGGATGGTTTCACCGCATTTCCTGTCCCAACAAACAAACGGCGACCTATACCGATTGCTAGGACTCTGCGCATATCACAGACGCATCGTGAACTTTCTTACAGCGCAACACCAGAAAAAATACAGGACAGGGAAGGAGAAGATCCGAAAGAAAAGACGGCGCTGTCTTTTCTTTCTGTTCTACTCCTTCCCTGTCCTGTATTTTTTCTGGTGTTGCGCTGTAAGAAAGTTCACCATGGATCCTAACCAACTGGCCCGACTTACCGTCTTACTATCACAGACGCTTTTGCAGAGGCTTTTCCCAAATCGCGGGATATCTCAATCAACTTACAAAAGAAGGCGCACCGTTTCTTTTAGGTAAGAATCAGCGTGACGCCTTTGACGCCCTACGAAACCATCTCCAAGCTCCACCTGTACTCGGTCACTTTGACGACAACGCTGCCACAGAGCTGCACAAGGAATGCCAGCAACGTCAGGCTTAGATTTGTATTGGTGCAATGGCAAAATGGCGTAGAGCATGTGATTACTTACGCACGCCGAACAATATCATCCACAAAGAAAAAACCTCTGTGCAACAGAAGAAGAATGCTTAGCCGTTGTTTGGGTTATAACAAAGCTTTGGTCCTACTTATGCGGTCACCGATTCAAAGAAGTTAGCGACCACCATTCTCTATGTTGGCTTGCCAATATCAAAAACCATTCATGTCGTCTAGCACGGTGACGCCTCAACCTGCAAGAATTTGACGTTACCGTCATGCACAAGTCAGGCCGCAAACACACTGACGCTGAATGTCTCACATGCGCCAATCGGATGTACGAACGCCGACGTTGAGGGAACAATACGTTTCTTTCCTCTGTCACAGAAACCAATTTGCCTCACAAGAACAACATAAAGCTAAGCCCGCTCATTGACAACATCGAAGGCAGCTAAACCGGTCTTCCTCGAAATTTTGCACGCTCGCTGGCCTTCTTCTGCATCAGGGATGGAGTACTGTATAAAAACAACTTTAACCATACGGAAGCTATTTACATACTGGTCGCACCGAGACAATATATTACATGCTTGTCATGACGAACCAACACCCGTGCACCTTAACTACACGCGCACCTTGAAAAGTATCCGCCTCTTCTATTACTGGCCACGCGTCGTAATGACAGCTAAGCAGTACGTATGCACATGCCACGACGGCAGACGTCATATTATTCCACTTCTTCGAGCAGCGGGACTACTACAGCATAACACCACACCGAAAGCAGCATTTCGTCAAAATCGCATGGACTCGCTCAGATCCTTTCCCACACCTTCGTCTTGAAATTGGTGGAATATGGTCGCCACTGATTATTCAACATGTTAAAGCAATTTAACACGTTCAGTGGAAACAATAAACAGATTTAGTGGCGCATATGCAGCAGCCAGTATGGACGTGGCGTGCCATTGCAAACGGCTTGCATGCTACGTCCGTATGGGTACTGTTGACGCGTGACTAATTGTGTATACGCTTTTGGCTAGTTTATTTGCTATGAAGCCTATACGAAACAAAACTCGCCTGATGTGTCCCTGCGTTTGAAACAAACCTTTCCTCTAGTAAATGCTACACTAAGTTTCACTTCAAATCGTTCTTCCAGCACCCGCGTCAATGCCCGTTTAAACTGCGTCAACGCCGTGTGCCCCGGCGCTGCTTTGCATTCCTTTCGGGGACAAGGTTCATATTTTTTTCAATACAGTCCGTTTTAGTGTCGGTGCCAAATACCTCCGTTTGAGAAACATAGAGACATTCTAGCATTTATCCTTTTTGGAGATGTGCAATGGGGTAAACTGGGCTAATTATCGGCATTGATTCCTATTGTCCACCTATTTAGATACATCGTTTTAGTATTATATTGCGTATGGATACTTATCAGGTCGTTAACCGAGGCACAGTTAAGCTCTGATAAATGAGTGCCCTGGTACTATCATCGAAATAATGTGATCAGTAATTTCATCACAACTTTGTTAAAGACGATAGTTATAGCGCGTGAACAGAACGATGACACAGATGCAAGAAGGACACGCAGGACACGACGGTCTCTGTGTAGTTGTTCTGGTCTCGCGCTATAAAACTATCGTCATGTCATACCAACTAGCCCAAGCTGCCACACTTCTAAGTTGTGAAAGGCTTTGATTTACCGATCTCCATTTTCCCCCCGCGTCTTACTTAGAGAAAGTGCCTGAGTTGTAATTGTCTCCGTTTTCCTAACCTGTATTTTGATTGTTTTGGTAGCGCCCTCTCTCTTTCACCTCACGCAGACAGCGTCTGCTGGTAAAAACCGACTGCTCTCCCTGCACAACCATTCACTGGCACGGGATCACGCGTTCGGAAATCAGTCAAGGGCGTCTTTACTTGGCTTTCGCTTGACTTGACGCTTTGCTTAACTCGAGTAGAGGTGATAGAAGCAACAGTACCTTCAAGCAGTAGTGGGACACAACCCAACACATGAGCGTCCTATCACTCGTAGAAGGTAACGCTTCTCCTTCATTCAATAAATAAAAGTAATAAAAATGAAATAACAATTACGCATTCCCAAACAAAAACCAAATTTCACAAAAATCTCGCGGACTCCCCCCCCCCCCCCCCCTGTGCGACGCACTTACTCGAATTGCCCCCGGGGGTAGATAAGGGTGGCTTTTTACCACAATGTTTTGATGGGTAGGCGGTGTTGGTGCTTTCTGAATCTCTTAGTTTAGGTGCCATTAGGTGACCATGCGGAGCTCGTGACGCTCCTTGAGTAAAGAAGAAATAGTGCATGCGGGGCAGCGCTTTCCCACAAGTGGTCGTTCTACCTCTTCTAGGCATAGTAGAGAAGATATTTATATTTTGACTTACTGTTTGCACAAAAAAACATACTTTAGTATAGTACACTCGCAAGAAAAACAAAATGAAATCATACGGGCCTCGATTGCTGAAGAAAGTACTTGCGTAAACCTAAGCGGCAGAAACAGTTTACAATAAATTGTGAGTGGTTGGTTTTTGGATGCAGTTTAATACTAAGTAACACTTTAGCTAGTCCAGGAGAGCTAGACATTGTTATGCACTACACAAAAATACACCAGCGCGGGAGCTAAAGCAGAATTAGTTTTTATCTAATGAACTTACTTACAAACTTGCCGTCATTTTTCTAACCACGAGTTGTGATGCAGTTAAACTGTATAAACACGTGTTTTAAAGTTGTTCATTTCATGCATTTAAAAGCTTCATATTAGAACTAGGTTACGGAGTTTGAAACTTGCTTTTGCCGTGATTCTGAAGCAGTTCACACTTGCGTTGTCTTTTTTTCTACACAGCACGTAGTGCAATGCGTCATCGTGGCCGTGAAGACGATCGGCAACATCATGTTGGTGACGTTCCTGCTCAACTTCATGTTCGCCGTCATTGGCGTCCAGCTCTTTAAGGTGCGCCTTGTTTTTGTTCGCTTGCTTCTTTCTTTAGCGCCCATGCCTCAGCGCATGCCAGCCCCACAGTGACACATGAGCGTCATACCATTATGTGGGTTCCGAGAAAGCTTTATTTTGGGGCTTCCACCCTAAGAGGCCATCAAGTGCAGAAAGATTCGAACTGGCGTCTACACCAACTTAAGAAGATTTTACGTCATTTCTTTTTTTATCATTTATTTTTTATTTAGTTACACTACCCTCAGTGCAACAAGGCAATGCAGAAAGGTGTTACATAGAACATGATATAAAGACACATTTTCAGGTACAGTAAGAAAGTAGAACATAAAAAAAAACATTCTTTACAAACTTATTTTTGACGACAACACAGACATGGGCTCATAACGTGCCGTGAAAAGTAGCGTTAGAGTTCGGGGTCGCAACATCACTGGTAACGCGATTACATTTTGACATAGTTCGTGGAGAAAATGTATTTCTGAACGACTCGGTTCTGCACTTGTATGCTCTGACCTTGTTAGAATGGTCGATTCATGATAAGATGTAGTGCGATTGAAGTATGTACTTATTCATGTTTATGCCTGTTTTTGTATGAAATACGTTTTAATGGTAACTTCTTTATCCGTATTTGCAGCGTCTTCTACCCTAAACTCTCCTTTGCAGGGGTGTGTGTTAAATTGCCCGCTTAAAATGGTGCGAACAAACCCTACCGCTAAATTCTGACACTTATCTAATTATTTAAGGTGATTTTTTAACCACGTGTTTCTTACTGTGCAAGGGTATTCTAGTATAGACCGGACATTCATTACATACCATGGTTGTTTTGTTTCTATGGAGAAGTATTTTGCGTTTCTCCGCAGAAACCCCAATACTTTACAATGTTTAGCTGTTACGTATTGAATATGAAAATGCGAAAATAAAGTTTCTGCTAGCATTACTCCTAAATAATAAAATAATTCACTAATGAAGTGGTGTTGCCGATTAGGTTAAATCAATCATGAGTTATCTGCTTCCTTATAAATGCGATTTTCATAGTGTTACTAACGCTTTTTGCACATTTTCTTTTGAAAATATTGCACCCTTGAAATAATTTGTCTAAATCCCCTCGCAATAAAACAGAATATTCTTGATCACAGATTATGCTCTAGAAAACGCAGACTTATGCCAATAATTGCACAGCAGCTGGCAGTATCACTGATATCGTCTAAAAAATGAAAATAATAAAGGGCACGGAAAAGAACCTTGTACAACTCCAGATGTCATTCCAATCTCGTGAGAGCTTGCGTTGTTAATAGGAACCCTCTGATTACGTGGACATAGGCATTGTCTTACACAAGATATAACTTATGTGTTCACGTTATGCTATTGAATTTTTTCTATTAACCAAAAGTGCAAAAAGAGATCAAAAGCCTTTCTGAAATCAATGTAAACGGCGTCTACAACTAATACGTTATCTAGGGCACTTGTTGATTCAAATACAAGCTCTGTTTATGTACAAGCTCTATACATTTCACGGGGTTGTTTAAACGATGTCCTATGCTGACAGTTACACAAATAACACGTGCGGCCATATCCTGTTCTGGCTTAGTTAACTTCCACCGAGCGCTCATCAACCAGGTTGAACGAGTGACTAAGGTCTCTAATAAAGCTTCTCCCCCCCCCCTCCTTCGTAAGAACAACTTAAACATCAAGAAAGGTTACTCTTTGTATTAATCTGTTGTGTTTGTCGCATTTACTTATACAACACTTCTGGTGGTTAAAACTAATCGTGAGTCCATCTATGCACCCTGTCTCAGAATTATATGTTGGTTTCGTCACCAAATACCTTCGAAAAAGATTTTGTGAAACTTGATACTTATTCGGTGGGAAAATACTCAGCCGTGACTCTCATTTAGTGTAATGTTATAAGCAGGTTCCTGTGTGCTGCCATGTCATTTGGGTGGTTTTGCAATATTTCTCTACAGGGGAAGTTCTTTCGATGTACCGACCGGTCAAAGGTTACACAAGCTGAATGCCGGTAAGTGTGTTTTTTTCCCTATACCATACTTTTTTGCAAATATTGGTTTACTACTATGGAGAAAGTAGAGATGAAGGCAGAGAACGGAATATAGTCGAAGTACTTTGATTTAGTAGTTGATTTGAAACTGTTCTGGTACATTGAAGTACTCATAAATGTCTGGGATTACGAAATTTTGTGACAAAGTGTTAATCTCACTAATAATAAAGTGTTTGTTTCACGCTGCACTTGCAAATGGTCAAGCAAAAGTATTTCATGTTGAACGAATATAAACAGCGGTGACTTGTTACAAAAAGTTTCTTTTCAAACAAACAGAACAAATAGGGAAAGGCATGATAAAATACAACAACCAAATGCATCCTCATGCTACAAAAAGTATCGAAAAAAATCGGTAGACCCAAATAACTGGGAATTTACGTAATGCAAACATGCGGAGGGAAGATGACCATGTTGCATTTTTTTTATTTTGCGGCACGTCATGAAATGGCGCTATATATGTACAAATGTTGCACGCACGGACATATGCTGAAAAGTTGCAGATGTTCATAAAACCAGTAGTTGGCACTTGCACAAGCATGCCAGCTTGTGGTGGTGGTAAAAACTTTATTAGACCAAGATATTCGGGAACGTACGGCCCAGGGTCGCCGCACGACCCCCACCGCAATATGCGTTCATGAGTTCATGTAGTTGCACAACGTGGGCTGGCCTAGTCAGTAGCGGTCTTCTACTTGGCCGGGTCCACATTTCCTTCCTCCATGGCCGGGTCCGTCGAGCGCAGCAGGGTCTTCCATTCCTTGCATGTGGTCAGTGGCTGCGGGTCCCTCGGGGGAGGGTCCGTCAGGCATTCTAGGAGGATGTGGGTAAGAGATGCATGGGGGTGAGCGTATTGAGCACAGGACGAGGAGTATGCTCCTGGGTAGATGCGCGAAAGGAAATAGGGAGAGGGAAGTGTGCGGGTCTCGAGGCGACACCATAATATCTGATGAAAATTGTCCAGGGATCGACGGGGTGGAGGGTATAGCTGGTGTTTCGCGCGGTATGCTTCAGTAATCTCAATGAAGGAATGCATGCGCTCCCTGAAGAGTCCGACTCGAAGTCCGCCGCCGCCCGGTTTTTGAGACCTCGGAGGCGTGGTCATTGGCGGCTTCGTTGCCGGGATTCCTAGAGTCAGACGGCACCAGGGGCGTTTCAACTCTTTCGCGACCGGTGGAGGGGGTGGGAAGGGGGAGGCTAAATAACTTTCCACTCCCCGCAATATATATATATATATATATATATATATATATATATATATACATGCTGAGAGTAGAGTGTAACATTTCAATGGGCCAGTTTGTCTATGTGAACATATGGGTTATAACACAACGGAAGCGTTGTCAATAAATATTCATATATGTATTTCAAAACAGTTTCGGGAGAGGTCCTTCCTTCATCAGTGGATAGGTTAAGTCATCGTATATATATATATATATATATATATATATATATATATATATTGTGGGCATTTGTAACTTACATCGTCCTCATCCCTGCATAATCACAATCACCATCATCCGCTTGTCTCTTTGCCCTCATTGCCACTCTGGGTCATCATCATCGTCATTGTCTGTGTGCTGGCTCTGCCCGTTCGTTTTGCGAGGTCTTTTCTCAAATAAACGCTGTCGCAGCCAAGACTACCAAGACTTCATACGTGGTGGAGGTGGATTTTCGGTCCTCTGACCTCCCGCAGCCCGCTATACCCCCTGGAGCTTCGTTAAGGCCACCGCTTGCGCCCACAGTCAGGCAGCATGTCCCAGACCGAGCCTACCGGCACTGATGTCATCAACCACGCACCGACGCAAGCTGCCCCTCCTACTTACATACACGGACATCAGCGGGAACCCCCGCTTTTCGCTGGTCTTCGGGGAGAAGACGTAGAAGACTGGCTTGATGACTACGACGCGTAAGTGCCGCTAATAGGTGGGATGAGGCCGCCAAACTGCGTTACGTGCCTTTTTATCTGGTCGGAGTCGCGAAGACATGGTATTTTAACCACGTCGTTGACTTACCCGACTGGGCTACCTTCCAGCAGCAGCTGCGGCACGTCTTTGGGACACCAGACATTCAATCCGCCGTCGCGAAGAGGACACTCGATACTCGCCGACAACATCCCAGTGAATCGTATACTTCATGCATTGAGGATATCCTCGCACTCTGCTGGCGTGTCAATAAATCCATGCCGGAATCGGACAAAGTGCGCCACATATTGAAAGGCATTGGGCCTGTTGCCTTTAATGCCCTCGCTGTGCAAAACCCAGCTACCATCGCTGATGTCGTGGCGACATGCCAGCGCCTTGATGCGCTGGACTCCGTTCGCCTTCAACCAGACATCGGCGACCACCACTCCACGTCAGATGGCCATCTGCGTGACCTCATCCGGGACATTACACGCGAAGAATTGCGGTCCATGGGCTTCACACCTCCTACACCGCGACCTACACAGCCTTCGGGAATGCCTTACGTGACATCATCAGGGAGGAACTTACATCCCTGACTGGCTCTGCGCCCGTACAGCCACCTGCTTCTCACCCTATAGCCACGTACTCTCAAGTTGCTGCCGTGCCTCCCAGCGACGCCCACGCGACATCGCCACGTCCATCCTACGCGTCAGTTGCTGCTGCTACCCCGGTTAACTACCATTCCGTGCCCCCTGACCCTCCGGCCCACCTGACCGCGCTATCTCCAGGTGCCCCGAATGCCTTCTATTCCCCACCGTGGCGCTCATCTCGCCCTGTATGCTACTACTGTGGCTATCGCGGCCACATATCTCGTTTCTGCCGAAAGCGCCAGCAAGATGAGCGTAGGAACGATGTGCGTGAACGGGATTTGTACACCGGGGCGTCTTATCAAGGTCGGCGTTATTCGTCACCCCCGCACCGGTCTCCATCTCCTCCTGCATCGACTGCACCACGAAACAGCCGAAACACGAGACGCCGCTCGCCTTCACCCTTCCGCCGTTCCACTTCTCCACTTTGGCCCGCCTCATTCACCTCTGATATTCATTCGGAAAACTAAGTGATGCAGTTTGTGGACGAAAAACTGCATTTGGAATTAGAACTGAAATTCCTCCATTAGGCCCGTGTAACATGGTTTCTGTGGAAGTGGAAGGAGTGCGAGTCGATGCTTTGGTGGACACAGGTGCGACATTTTCTGTGATACGTGCTGATTTGTGTGAACATTTAAGGAAAGTAATGACGCCTTACGATGGCCCCACATTAGTTGCTGCCCAGGGGAACGTCATTCGCCCTTCCGCGCTTTGTACTGTGCGTGTTTTCATCGACGGCATCCGCCATCATGTCCAGTTTGCTGCCCTGTCCCGCTGCTTTCACGAACTAATTTTTGGGTGGGATTTTCTATCATCTACTTCCGCGGCGATTTGTTGTGGACAAGCGTCGTTCACCTCGCTGACACCGACTACATGCTTGACGACGATAACCAGAAGCCACTTCGTCTGGTCGCTGCGAAAGACATCGAACTCCCGCCACTACAAGAGCAAACTGTCAGCATTACGTCCAACGACATCTATCACGGGAATGTATTGGTCTCACCGTCACCACTTTGCGTTCGCAAAGGTATAGTTCTTCCGTCCGGTGTCGTTCGTTTTTGCAATGGCTCGGCACTTGTCACCGCTGTTAACTCTACACCGGAGAAGATCTTACTGCCACAGGGCACTACTGTGGCCCGTGTTGCTGACTTCGAGCCTGTACTCGTCACGCCACTTCAGGCCATCGCATCCAAAGAACCTTGCCTCGGTGAGCATGTTTCTTCCTCCGCCTTTACCACCACTATCAGCAGCGAATTGACATATTCACAGAGGCAGCAGCTGCTCGCATTGTTACAGAAACATGCAAATTTTTTCGATATTTGCTCGTCTAAGCTGGGACGCACTAATACTACAGCACATCGAATTCAAACTGTTGGGACATCTATTGTACACCGCCGATCATCATCGTCATCGTCTGTGTGCTGGCTCTGCCCGTTAGTTTTGCGAGGTCTTTCCTCAAATAAACGCTGTCGCAGCCAAGACTACCAAGACTTCATAATATATATATATATATATATATATATATATATATATATATATATATATATTGAAAAAGGGTTTATTGATGATTGTTGCGACGGTGGTCCTACGAAGAAACACGATCGTGCAAGAGCAACGGTCAAGCAGATGGCGGCGATGATCAGCACGAGCCGAGCGAGCGAAGCCCAGCACCCAATACCCAAGCGGTGGCGATGTTGCTTGCCAACGACGCTCTTTCTTCTTCACAATTTGCCCCCGCCGAAAAAGAGCCATCCTGGCGACCTAAGAGTCTGGAGGCAGAGGGCTATAATATGGCTTAAGGCGGGCGACGTGGACGATGTCACGTCCACGCCGGCGCATGTCGTCAGATGGGAAAGTGGCTCGATGAGAAAATTCACCGGCGAGGTTTGCTCCAAAACGCGGTATGGGCCCTCGTACTTTGGAACGAGTTTTGAGGAAATGCCGGGGGTTTGGTAAGGAACAGCCAGCCATACAAGTGATCCCGGGGAATAGCTGGGGCTCTGTGAAGAGTCGACGTTGTTTTCTTTCTGGCGCTGTTGTTCTCGAGACGTAAAGGTGCGTGCGAGTTCACGGCACTCTTCCGCATTTCGGGCAGCTTCGGACACAGATGGGCATTCGGATGCGTCAGGACGGTATGGAAGGAGAGTATAGATGGTGTGGGATAGTTCGCGTCCATAAAGAAGAAAGAAAGGTGAAAATCCAGTGGTAGACTGTGCCGCGGTGTTATATGCGAACGTAATGAATGGAAGAATGCGATCCCAGTTAGTATGATCGGATGTCACATACATGGCGAGCATATCGCCAAGGGTGCGGTTAAATCTTTCCGTGAGCCCGTTAGTCTGCGGGTGGTATGCCGTGGACTTGCGATGAACAACATGGCATTCAGAAAGCAGAGACGTGACGACTTCTGATAGGA